TGCGACTTTTGCTCTCCAGCGTGGCGGTTTTGTACTACGTGAATGGCTAGCCGCAAAGGGCCTGATGAACTCTTTTCTTATGCAGACGCTTTGTTTTGTTCCTTAAATTTGCATAGATGCTGGCCACGTGAGTGAAAACGCTCTTTAGAAATATGACCAGAAACCCTCGGAGTTCTGTTACCATTTTCAAAGTATATCGAACGTGGGCTATTACTAAGTAACAAAGAATAATATTATAACAACAGATGTCGTTGTAGGATAATGAATAAAGAACGGAATATGAATAACAATGTAGACTAAAAACTATGGATTCCGGTATATGAAACTCTACCTGAGACCCGTCATCCCTTAACGTCAAAACCATTTGATGTCAAACTAGTTTTATTTGGAGCTTTAAGCAAGGAATACAGAATTTTTTAGTTCGGTGTAATCTTATTCCGCCAGGCGTCAGTACCTGGAATAGGGAGTTAAGAAGGCAAGGTGGTGAAAGCGTCGGTTAAAATGTGAATTCGCGTTCTTGCATCTTTATCGCGATTATTCCAACTTGCTTACCTTCTTAACTGAAAGCTAACTCCCCTGAAGTCGATGGCGTGTTGTGACTCCCCGCGGCAAACGAATTGTGATAAATAAGGGGGATGTATGGACAAAGTTATCAAGTTTTGCTTGTGTTTGCCCTATTTTCACCACTTGGTGAGCTGTTATCCTTTCTCCTCTTTCGCATCAACTGCATTTAGTGTATTTGGCGGTTTGTTTCACTGGTGTGTCGTGCCTGACACCGAATTTGGGGCTTATAATCGGAAAATATGCCTTCAAAAATTGCGAAAGCAATTCTCTTTCAAACACTAGCGCCCAGCCTAAGCTATAAAACATAACTAAATACTTACGTACTTCACACTACGGCCCGCCATGATCTCCTACGTATTCTGGTAGCGTAGTTCAGCAAGAAGCAAGGTTTAATTTGCATAACAACAATTTTGCACGTGCATCACGTGCTGTCACTGCCTCACTACGAAGTTGAAAATGCCTAATTAGTTCCCGTTTTATAGAGAGAAGCGTGACGTCACGTTACCATGGTAGCACTATTTCTGGATGACAACAAAACTAAAGACGACGGCGACGCTAAGGAGAACGGAAAAAATAATATGTTTATATTAACAAACAACAACTTTGCACGTGCATCGCGCTATTTTGTGCATTTCTTTGCCGTCGTTGCACCACTACGACATGAAACTTCCTAATTTCACGAGCACAAAACAAAAATTGGCGCTTTCCTTTTCGTCTCGCCTAACATCGCGTAGCTTGTGTTGTTAATGGTGGCAGTCGTGTTAAAAAACAAACAAACAAACAAATAAACAAACAGAAAAACAGAGCAACACATAGGAAATGGTGCTTGTTCATCATTTACATGGCAAAACCGGTCGGCCAACGTTTTGGGCTAAAGGTACGCAAAATTAAGGACCAGTAAGTTCGTTCCTGAAACGCGTTTACCATTAGTATAAATCAGTTCCATTTACCGAAAAACGACCGCGAAGGCCTAAAACTGGTATCGAAGATGGCCTTTAAGAAATGGAAGACAAATTTCCGTTTGGAACATTCCGTCCGGAAAAACATGAATACCTTTCCAGATGTTCCGTTGCTCCCAGAAATTTTCCGCTGAAACGACCCAAGAAGTCCTGTTCCATTCACTTTCCAACCGGGTTTTCTTGAAACTTTTTGTAATTGGTAGACAACCAAGATAAGGTCAGGGTCTTACTTACTAAGCTCTCTGAGAAATAACTTTACTATACCTGTTTTATTTAAGGGAAAAGTACCAAGGAATGAGTACGGCAATGTGGAACTGTTTCTGCCCTGTATGCTTCCTCCTGGAACGACGCATATTCAGAGTAAGTTTGAAATCAAGTTATGACGACGGCCAATGAGAGATTCGTTTTGTGTCTTAACTCATAAGTAATTTGCTATTTCCACAGTTAATGGCATTCAACGAGTGGCGAAGAAACTTGGGATTGACTGTGCGCAAGCTGTTGTTGGATTTGATTTCCACTGTGGATTTAGCCATCCTGTGTGAGTATTCGCATACCACCTACTACGCTTTAAATAATCCTCATATTAAGGTAATATGGACCTTTATTATATAAACACCAATGAAATACCAGGTGAACATGATACCTTCATATGTGAAAATAACATGTTACTTCACATGTGAAACGATCGCCGTTGCTATGGCTACATAATAATTCGCGCCTTTTCCAGCAAAAAAACTGTTCAAAAGTGAAATAGTTTGGAATTTCATTGGTGTTTATATGATAAACAGAACATTACATAGCCGCTTGGAGATACGAAATTTTTTGAATGAATAATAAAATGTTATTAATTTTGTTTTGCAGTCTTTTATCAAGTGAAATGTTGTTAAACAATTTTTTTTTAAATTTTGCTTAATTTTTTCAATCGTGGCAGTATTGATGGTGTGGTTGTGTGCCAGGAATTTGAACAAGTTCTTTTAGATGCTTGGAGAGAGGAGGAGGAACAAGCTGAGAAAAGAAAGGCAGAGGTAACTTAGAGTGCGCTCTCTCATTTGCTATTTCGTGGTCACATGACTTCTAATGATCAAAATATTTTCCCGCCAAAAGTTTCTGAGCGGGCAACAGAAAAATTGTGACGTGATAGGGATATGGCCCAATGCTACTTACGAATGTTGACTTCTTCTTTTGTTTTGCTATTGTGTTGTCAGATGTCTCAGTTGCTCGGTGACTTGAATTCAGTGTCTTATTAAATTTTCTTTTTGCAGAAACGCGAGAAGCGTATGTTAGCTAACTGGAAGCTACTTACCAGATCTCTTTTAATCAGAGAACGGCTCAAGAAGAGATACGACACTGAGGTACATGCAAGACCAAAACTGCCTTCACAAGAAAGCAGTTTTGTGATAGTTTGTGTTCCTTCACCCTTCCCTTCGCGAGGGGGCACAGTAAAGGAAAAGTATCGCGTGTTCTGATTGATTGCCCGAGCGGACAAGATAAGTCAATTTTTCCCACGCGGGATTGCCCTTTTTTTTCCCGCGACATTATCATCATGGGCCACGACTTTGCCGTGATCCTTAAAAGGGCAAACATACAAACAAACAAAAAGAGAAAAAAAAACAAGACCCATATCCAGCCATCATGAGCAGATAAGCTTGGTAAATTTAAGGGCAGGTTCTTTGCAACAGATAATGCTCCCCACCCCGCTTCTCTTTCTGTTCTAGCATCTACTGGCCGTTGAATAAAATAATGATTACAGTATCTGAATGTCTTTCTAGGAGACCAATACGACCGAGGCTCCAGACAATGAAGAGAGTGAACTGACGACGGACGCATCAGTGTCATGGCCTCTCAACAGACAAGGTATCGTAATATTAGGCCTTAGCCTGTGTACACTGCTGTCCCCCTCCCCTCAAACAAAATCGAGGGGGCGGGGGGAGGGGGGTGCTCTACACAGGTCCCTTCCTCGGACCAATCCGGCAGGGATGGACCAGCATACCGCTCGGGACATTAGGGGACCTTCGCTACCCAGACACAGTGACCAGCCCACAAAGTGCCGTATTCACTGCCACACCACCAGAAGGGGTTTATCACTGACTGAGACCCCGACAACACCAATCCAGATAAATATATTTTTAAAAAAACCGCATATTATTTTACACGAATTTCAAGCGGGTCAATAAGCGGATTCACTGGTTTCGTGTGCGCAGAAGGCCGATTAGTGTGAAAAAAAAAAAAAATAAATAATAATAATATACGGTATGCGGTTTCAAATTGTCCGGATTCGTGTGGTCTATGCCTGAATTATTTGCGCCATATTTAGTAATATAAATTTTACACTTTTTCAGAGGGAAAATCAAGTGTTGCAGGAGACGGACACTGCCATGTTTTTCCTAAAAAAGGACGTAAACAGGACCCAGTGACTGGTGAATGGACGAAATCCTGTTCTTGTGGACTGACTCTCCCATTTGAAAAAATGTAGATTTTAAGGGGCTTTGTGGAATTCTCACAAGATCCCCCACTTAAGAAACGAAAACTGCAGCGAGTTAACTTTTGCAAAGACTTCTGGGAATGTTACTACGGAGAGGGCAAAAAAATTCGCCAATAGAGATTAAGATTCGAGTTTTCGCCAATAGGCAAACGTGAATTTGTACCACGTGACCAAGTTTTTTCCTTAATTGCCGTTAACTGTTTATTACTTCAACTAAAAAACAAGTAGTTTCATGCCAGTTTTATACATAAGAATTGTTCTGGACAGTTTTTATCTTCTGATTTTCTATTCTGAGAAATTCTCAACTTGAATTTGACGGTTGCCGTTTGGCGTAAACGTGAATCTTAATCTCTCTAATAGCTGATAAAGATCTCAAATGCAATCGCGGGACACATTTCGGCACAAATCCCCTTTCCGTCGAAATCGCTACTTATGAACCAGTTAACATTCGCAGACTTCTGGAACTGTAACAGAGGCATGGAAAGGCTAACCGGCGCGTCCCCGGTAACGATCCCGGAAGTCTTCGTGAAAATTAACTCGTCCCAGTTTCCTTCCGTGTGACAATAATTATATTCTTTAAGTATGGTTTATAAGCGAGAAACGGACTAAAGAACACAGTAAGCTATATTACACTACATAATATATTCATTAAAGAACGACCGGTTTTCCTGAACGTTCCAGACTGTAAACCGGAAAAAAAAAGGGAGGAAGTCGAGAAAAAGAGAAAAGTTACAGTTTCATTTACTAAGTATATTTCTTAACTTAGAAGAATTTCTCGCGCCACGCAAGCATTTTCTGAAAACGAAATGCAGCGGATTCATATAAATTATCTAGTACTCAAAAAAACGTTTAAAAGATGTTCTGTTTGTACAGTTATTTTTTCAAGATAAACCTTCATAGAGAGAATTAAATTTTTATAACAACAGACCCATTGTTGTCTTAAAATAACTAGGTTTATTAGTTTGGTTCTTTAAAAATAAAATAAGTCATAAAATGGGCACTTTTTAGAGGTGTGTCTTTGCTCGTTTGATTTTGTTATATAGAACAGACATGGTACACTTTCTGTTACCCTTCCGCGTTGCAAATTTTTTAACCAACCAGACAGTGGGGAAAATGATCCACTTGATTTCCAAATATCGTTTATCTCAGCTGAAAAGAGACTCGCCAATACCCAGTACATCAATTCACCACAGCTAACTTGGTTTTAAGATGCACTGTTAACTTGGAGTGGTATCCAACAAATAAACTTCTGCTTTGACGGTTCAGGGCTCAAAAGAATTTTCCGTTGGTGTGCGTGCGTGCACGATGCTTTGGCTCGGTCAAGTCTCGTTTCTGACAAGTTATATTATTCTTGGAAAATGTTAACTGATCCTTGTGTGATTTTCTGTTTGTTAGCGTGTCTTAGAAAGACACAAAAATCTAAGATTTAAAGGGTGAGAACTGGCTGTTATTGTTATTGTTGTTGTTGTTGTATTTTCTCTTTTTTCTACTTTTTTCCAAAAATGAGAGTGTCGTGTCCAGTCAACATGACCGACGAGTGAAGTATTTGGCAAGTCAAGAGTCAGGTTATTGTCCTTTGACTGGCCATTATTTTGAGCCCTGTAGTTGAAATCATGGACTGCCAACTCCTTCCCGTCTTCTCAAAATAGTCGCCTTGGTGATTTATCGGTTGAAAGCCACAAGTCTAATACGATTGCAGTCTTGAGGATGCCGCAGAGCTATGCCAGACCTTAGTAACAGTTCAATATACGGAGGCCAGTGAAAATCCTTTATTCGGATGTAAGGATCGTGAGGCCTGGCGTACAACATGTTCATCAGGTCCTATTGAGAGAAATTATTTGTCGTTTGAAATGTGTTTATATTTAGACATTTTCACCCTATAGCACTGTAAATGTCCATTCAGATGATACATGTATTACTGGAGGATTCAGGATTCAGGAAATAAGTATTGTCCAATGGTCCTCTGAGTTGCCAAATGGACAAGGGCCCAGGCAAGTCGTCTTAACCCCTTTAAGCCCAAAGATCCACATACAAATTCTCCACACTGATCTCCATACAATTCTTTAAATAATAGTTGAGAGAATTTGGTGTTAGATCAAAGCATGTTCCCTTTAGTGATCAATTTAGTAATTCTCATGACCTTTACTGTTGATGATCTGCTAATGTTGTTAGGAGAAAATTGATGTTGGTCACCCTTGGGGCTTAAAGCGTTAACATAGTGAAGCAAGTTACACTGTAAAACAAACACTGTGAGAGGAGGAAATCATTTACTATTGTTATTATCATTTTCACTATCACTATCACTGTCATTACCATTACCATCATCAGCATCAAGAACAGCATTATTATTATTATTATTATTATTATCATTACTGTCACTGTCATCATCATAATCATCATCAATGCCCTGAGAACTCCAATATTTTCATTGCACTCTTTCTTCTTACCTCTGTTAGCTGTTGAAGTGAGATATACGTGATGTTTGGATCTAAGAGCAGTCCCTTCCCCTGATTCTAGAAGGCAAAAAACAAATAAGTTAGGGTAATAACAAATGAAAAATCAAGAGTACATTATTGCACCGTCTCACCCCCTCATAAACGTTATGTGTCTGGTCTTCTCTCAGAGAACAAACAGGCCAGAAGGTTAATTCTCTGTTGATCAACACCACTATAAAACGAACACGTCCTACTTAAAGCGGAAACCCACAATAGAGTTGGTCCATACCATTCTTCAATCATTTTTATTGCCTTAAACGACCCCAAGAGTTCGCCCCTGCTCTCTTTTGAATCAGTTCTAACAGTGAAGTGAGTTCTCTGTAAAGGGGCAATGGAGATACCAGAAACAAGTTCAGAAAAAGCTACAGGTGGACAGACTGCCATGCCCATCCCACTGTTTTCTGAATAGCCTGAGGCCCTTTCCATAGGAATGCGGCAGTAAGCACATTCAGCCTTTTTTTGCCCGGAATACTATGTAGCAGGAATGAATGAAAATAGTGAAAACTAAGTCCAAAAAATGTACCTTGTTTCTTTTCACATCATCAGGTGATGGCAGAGGAAAGTTTGTGGACAAAAATGATCCCTGGATTAAAATGACAAATGAATAGATAATTATTAATTAAATCTTAGTGTTGCAACTTTGGCATCATAATCAGAGGCTATCACAAAGGAAATCATGCTAAGAGTAATGTCTCTTGTAGATGAAAAACCATGAAAAGAACTACTTAGAATACTCTTAAGCACTGCACTTTTGTGTGAAGTTTTATAAAAAAGAGATTTGGGATTTTTCTTTATTTTTTTATGTCCTTTCATGAATATGAGTGAGGTGTTTGAAAGCAGACACTTCTTAGCTTGTCTTCGCTCCAAAACCCCCGATAAGGCTGCTGTGCTCTAGCAGAGCTGTGTGACCCCTTGCAACTGACATTTGCCTGAGGCTAAGTTTTGTACACTACAGTTCATTATGGACTCAAAATAACAGGTTCGCAGCTTTTACTGTAAAACTAACAAGACCACGGACACCAGAAATATTTTTGGAATGTTACTGTGTGTTGTGAGGGAAAACCTAATCCAGTGTGGGAAAATTAAACCACAAGCGATAAGTTTGTGGTTGTGTGGCTTGCTTACTTGTCCTAATCTTTGCTGTGATTTGACATAATGCAATAAACATTCAGTGGTTTTGTTAGCTTGACAGTAAGTCAAGAAGAGACCTATGAATTGGAGCCTTTCTACAAACCAGTTTTCTCATGATCTGAGCAAGATACACATCTGCAGCTTTCTTTTGTTTTTCAAGTTCTTTTATCTGACTGAAAAAATTAACACAGAATATTTCATTACCTGTCTTCCATCTATATTATTATGCACTGCAGGTAGCCGAAACTATTTTCTTGGGAATTTGCAACAATCATTAAAATCTCCCCAACTAATTCCTGATACACTGTCAAAAATAAACAAATACTGAAAGAACTTGGTAAATACTAAAACAAACAACGCAGAGTCTCACGGTCATTGCATACTGTGCTAGGTACAGAGCTAGACAAACAAAAACACGTGAAAATTGCTATCCAATGATTTTATAAATTTTAAATAGGTTTATAAACTCATGACCGATTTGCCACAGTGGAGGGTAAGATGTTTAGTATGGGAAAGGTGTAGAAATTAGAGGAATTGTGGAATATTGATTGGTGGTGCAGGTATCAAGAATTGGGCTTTTGGTTCATAGGAATCTAGCAAAGAGAAGATATTTTGGGTTCTACATGTAAAGAAAAGAGTACTTAAATAATTTAATTATTGAACTACAATAAATATTATAGTTCAATCAGCAAAATGAATGGTTTGATATAGACCAAGGGTTGGTTCCATTGCCCTGGCCACCATCACACCTCCATGCACCCAAAAATTATTTATCATATGTATACACAGAACTAATGTTTTGAATACCTTATTCCACTAGGAGCATTTTCTTTTTCTTGCTCCAGGCTCTCAATTTTCATTTGAAGAGAGTGGCCAATCTCCTTATGCTGATTAAGAATCTCTTCCTCTCTGCAAATCAATGATCATGTAATCAATCAGCAAGTCCCAAAATAAGGGGGTGCACTGTTTGGCCGAGTAGCCAAGTCTCAAGACTAGCAATCCAGACATAAATGGTTCAAGTAGGTAATTTTTCTTCCTGGTTGTGTCTTGCCAGTTGCAGTTTTCCTGTAACCAGGTTATTTTTTCTATGCATCAGGGACGCAGGACACAGGACGCAGATGTAACAAGATCACTGGTTCAAGGTTTTCTGAGTTTGACAGTAACTTTAGATAAAAGATGAATACCTCTTAAGTTCATCCTCTACTTCTTTGCGTTGCTTTCTAATCACTTCTAATGTCTCTTCCAACTGTGTTATACTTGTAAGCAACTAGATATAAAGCAAAACAGTTGTATCTGATGACATAGAACAATTTTGAAGTTTGGTGCTAAAGAATATTGGGTTATTCCAGAAAAAATCCACACCCCCCCGACGGATGGGGTCCTTTTTTAACCCCCCCTCTCACCTGGATTTCCTGAAGCACAAGACCCCCCCTCCCAACTGGATTTCCAAGGTGGAAGACCCCCCCTCCCGCCTGGATTTCCGGGAAAAAATAAAAGGCTTAAATTTAATTTATTTTTAATGGAAAATACACGCAAACACGTCTAAATGTTTTTGTTTTAATTTCTAAAGCTTCAGCTTATATTAAACTACGAATTCTATCGCGTGGAACTGAAAACGAAAGGAGCAAAAAACAAAAATGCGAACGACACCTGAACGAGTGTTTACATAATTTCTTAGCTTATAAAAATCACTCTTCGCGCGCGGGCTCTGGGTACGAGTAGAAATGTGTCAGGCGTTTGACGCTCTTCGTGACAACAACGTTGCGACGAGTTCCTTCAGGCCCGTTCTTTAGTATCTTTTTCGCGTTTTCTGCTATAAAAGGACCTGTAAAGCAACTTAGATTATCATTTATGTCAGGTGAGAAATATATGAACAAAACATTTTGACTATTTTCAGGGTCTGAAAGCGCTTAAGTGTCATCGAACTAAACGTTTGATTTGTATCAACTATCGGTCGAAATGACCCCTGCAGAAGACTTTTTTAAGGTCAACCCCCCCTCCCGCCTGGATTTCCGGAGTCTTCGACCCCCCCTCCCGCGAGAATTTCCAGAATCCCATCCGTCGGGGGGGTGTGGATTTTTTCTGGAACAACCCATTGATGGCCTCCACTCTACCCCCACACTTAAGTCGCACTAAAATTTCCAATGCTCAGAGTCTTTAGAAAAAAAATCAAACAACAACAACAACAAAAAAAACAAAACAATAACATAATAACAATGGCAACAGCAAAAAAAAACCAAAACAATATTCTATTATGTACTCTGAAGTCAGTGGGGTTTATACACTGTACCTCACTCCTTAGACATGTTCCAGTGTACTCTGGATTTGCTGATGTAACTATGAGAAACAAAAAAGAAAAATGCTGAGGAATGAGGAATTCGAATAAAGAAGAACTGTGAAATCAATTCAGAATGCTAGTCAAAAAGTTTGGGGGGTGCTGCTGGTTGAAATGACATCTGGGCTAGTAAATGCTAGCTTCAGCTTGCCCGAATGGCAGGCTGTAAAAATGATTTTCTTTGCACCCTGCATATGAGGGTACAGTTAATTTATCAATTTATTAACTGTATACATGTAAGTTATTATAAACTTAAATTATAAATGTTAATTATTATTATTATTATTATTATTAATTTCATGCAAATGCTCACCTTGAAGGCCCTGATTTTCCAAAGCTACGAGTTCTGTCTGAAGTTTCTTTTCTTTTACCTTAAGCACTTTTTCAAGTACCTATGGATATTTATGCCAAACTGTTTAATATATCTGTTGTAGTTAATTTTTTATCCCAGGTAATTTTTATTTTTCCTTTGTTTCAATTTCATTAGCATACATTACCATACCCAAAAACAAAAGAAAAACAAAAATTACCTGAGATAAAAAATAACTACAACATATCCATGAATAAGTCTGTTCATCACATTTAGATTAATTAACAATAATTATTATTAAAAGAGCAGAACAAGGAACTTTACGGGGACCTGCATCCAATTTTAACAAGTCTCCAGATAAGTCAGCTGCAGTTTAGTGGCCACTGATGGAGAAGCAAGAATGATAATCATTGTTTCCAAACTACTTCTTTAGAAACCAAAACATAACACGCACTCAAGGGCATACCCAGCAACAATATTTATTGACTAACTAGTGAGAGATACATGTACCAAGCAGGATATCTCTACCTGTCATGGCAGAAGACAGGAATGGGACAGACTCGTTAAAGTAGTGTGGGTGCACCCAAATTAGAAAGATAGATAGTTTAGATTATTTAAAATACACATAATCCGATTAGGTTTAAGAAAGAACTATGAACAGGCTCACCTTCGAACCATCCAAACCGCCTTCATCCACTTTAGATGAGCCCGCCCTAGTTCTTGCTTCTAGCCGGGCATGAGTCTTCAAGTAAAACAAATAAAGTCTAAAAATTAATAATGAACCCTCTATTAAGCCCCACTGGGGGCTTATTTATTTCAAGCAAGGGGGTGGGGGGTTTAACAACGGGTGTATTTATTTATGGTCAACTTGCCTGGACACAGCCATACAGTAGACCTCATATTATAATTTGCCTTACAAAACAATAGCATGGCTTAATTGCAATTCAAGTGGTTATCAATTTCACTGAAAACATGCAAACTTTGCTCCAAAGTTTGCATCTGGTCCAACAAACCACATAAAAATGGTGAGAAAAAAATATCCCGGGAGAAAAAAATCTATTTTTCAAATAGATTGATAGGTAAAAATCGTGATCTCACATTGTTCAACTCCTGCCAAAGGGTTTCACATTCATTCCGTAGTTGCAATTCAGCGGAGATGTGTCCCTCAGATAAATGGGCAGTTTCTTGTCTCTCGCCAGTGACATCTTGGTCTTCCAGTGAAGTGCTGACATTAAACAGCAAGGAGCGCCGCACAACATCAACGTTCTAGAAGCAATGGGAAATCATATAATTGAACAATGTTTATAGCCGCTGGTACCTCTCTACACTGTATTTTATTGTCTGCAAAGTCACCAATAGAATCATCACGGTCATAATGACTTAGGGCTGTCACTAAGATTTCAAGTTTGCAGTTATGTGCGAACTGTAGACATGGCATAATGAACAGCTGCATCTAGGAGATTCTTTTGGTTCTTTTTTCCTTTTGTTTCCTATGAAGTTAGCCAAGGGTCAAGCTCATAGTAGCCAGCTGGGGATAGCTCCTGCATCCAGCCTTAATAGCGAGCTTAAGCGATGAAAGCGATGGCAAAATCAATAGGTTTAGATTAACAAAACAACAACCTTGCACATGCATCAAGCTTTTTTGTACATTTCTTAGCTATCACTCACAACTACAACATGACAACAACTTTTTTTTCCTTTCCTGCATGAACTTTGATACAGTCCTTTAGAGTTCAAGCTCCAAAAAATTTGCCAGCATTTGACAAGTTAAACGAGATGGAATAAGCACGATATAAGTTTGAGGCAGCGCGAATTTACTTTTTAAGTGATGTTTTCTAAGCCATCGTGGACTGACGTCACTCTGACAAGCAAAAATATTTCAGGTACATATGGCACTGAAAAGCCAAAAGACTAAAAAAAGAACAAAACAAGGCCAGAAACAGAAAACAAAGCAGAATATTTCATATTCATTTCAACATGAAACGGTGAAAATTTCCAAACAGCTCTAGCCATACACTGATAAATAGGCAGGAAGATGTGATAATAGAACCTGTGTTTATTGAAGGTTTGACCAAAACGTTTTTTTTCCTTGATATCAAACAACAAGTTATTTTGGTGTGAGGCCAGAAAACACTCTTGATACTGTCAATTTTTATCTGTAGCTCAATCAGTGTGGCATGTACTTTGAGCTGTGGAAAGGCACCTGTTTACCAATAACCTGATATTGCTTCTCATCAGGTAAATTACTGGCCTCAAGCTGTGAGGAGCTTGTCTATAACTTAGCCAAAGATATACTACTAGTAGCATTTTTAATACATAACAAACATAGATTTCCTTGCGGCAAATCATGCCAAAAACACAACAGGTGAAGGGATGATCCCACCAGCCATGGGGCTAGCCTCCAGAGCAGATGTTCATTTAAAGCCTGAATGTGTGGGAGGCTACCATTGAGGCTGCCCGACAGCACTCTTGCCATGTTTTGATCAAGGATCTAATTTCAGACTTTGGCAGCTTCACTAAAAATGTAGACTTTAATATTATTTACCTTCGCTTTAACAAGAAAATTGCCATTTTTAAGTTTAAATTTAATTTGTAAAAATACTAGAAAGTAAATACATGAAAAAGTATTGAAGGGCTTTCACTCGAATAGTCATCACACCATATAATATATTTTTGAAATATAAAAAGTTAGACCACTCACTACATGGGGGAAATTAGGACTATCATTGCTTTTTTTCTTTATGTGCATAAGTAGAACTCAAATGTCAGTCTACTGATTGTCACATGATAGCAGTCTTTTCACCACACACAGTGCAGGCATAAAGATACATGCATGATTGACTCACAATATGAATTACAGCTCATGTACATGTAGTTAAAAATTAAGTAAACATGAAATTGCCATCATATGAACAAAGTAAACATGGAGACTCAAATGGCAGAGTTTCTTGTGTTAGGTAAATGGCTGCATGTACAATGTAATGAACTGCAGACATTGGCCACCCTGGAAGTGATAATTCAATTACGTACACACTGTCCATCAAACCTTTCACTCCCAGTTGTAGCATAAAGAAAAAAATCACCAATAAAAAATTCAAATTTCTTTTTTGTAACTTACTACATGTATGTTCTATTATTTTAACAGCTTTTAAATGAATGGTAACACCATTAAGATTTTGTCTGCAGGTTCAAAAAAGTAAATGACTTAATAATAAAAATTATGTAATCTTGCGATAAAGTGGTCTGAGAGTCAAGTGGCCATGGGATTTACTAAATTGGGTTATTACTCACAACATGGCAAAAACACTTTAAGCACATTAGCATGAGGTAGTAGAATGACCTGCCAGGATGGTCTCAACCAAAAGACTCACAAAAAGGTCTCCATTAGTGGTTGTTAGCTCTGGAATCTAAGGTAAGGCTATGTAGTTGTGTAAAGGCATAACGTACAGGAGAGTCTGCCAGCCATTGGCAAGCAGAATGATCCACTCCGCTTACCGTCTAACACATTTTTATACATATAGATGGCAACTGTCATTCAATGGGCTGGCGAGCAAAACTTGTTCACCATGAAAACTGTGGGGTAACTCCTTTAGTCCTTTTATAGGCTGATGAACTGATGCAAAATCTTACTACTTAATTTGAAAAAGCTGATTGTCTTGGTACGTCATGTATTACGATGTAATGATCTTATCATTGTGAATACTGACTCACCAGATGATCCGATGAATCCATGTACAGTTTTCTAATAACAGACTGAAGACCTTTAAAGAGAAATAAAGAGAGGGAAAAAAGGAAATAGAAAGTTGGGAGGAAAATCTACAGAAAAATTTCTTCAGATTTCCTTACTTTACTTCAAGCTATGTTTCAGACCATTCAGGACTTTTATGGGTCTTGTTAAAGCTTAATTTGGGGTAACGTATCAATAATAATAATAATATTATTATTTAATTATTATTCATGATTATTTGGCCTCCTTTGTTATGTACCTTTTACATAAATCTCCTCTGAGGACTACAAACCTGTCCCAACATGCAATGTTTAGAGTCAAAACTACTGTCACTCTATATCAACCCTTTAATAACTTAAAGTGACCAACCCTTCATTTCTCCTTATTCAAACACTGCTCAGTCAAACAAACAGGTTGCAAGAAAAAAAGGAAGGGACAAACAGGTGAATTAAGTCTTCTCTGTGATACAAATTCTCTACATCATATAGAAAGAATACTGCGGATAATATGCAAGATGATATCAGGATTTTGAAGGGTTGGACGACTGTCATTTACTAAAATCAATTGAATGTATGACGCTTTTCATGACAAACAACCATTGTTTGGGTGTAATATTTTCTCTTAACAGACAATTGTTATCCACGAAAGATTACAATAGATTGGTCGTCAGTTGGAACAATGCATCAGATATGTCTTTAGCCAAGAACACATAATCACGCAATAACGCATTACAAAAAGAAACTTCAGTTTCGCTTAGAGATTCTTTTTGTCCATTTCAATTTAAAGGCAACAACGTGCAACAACGAGAAGAACAGAAAAATCGAACACACAGCAAATTTGGGAACAGGAAATTGCTTGCCTCGTATATTTTGCATCAGGTAAAATACCTGTGAAGAATAGATCGTTCCTCGAAAGCTGGCTTTGTCAAAAGAAAACCCAATTTGCGACTTCAAGTGTTTACAAATTGTACGGCGCCATGTTGTTTAAAATGGCGCGAAAGTGTCATAATATCGAACGACAGCTTTATTTAGCCGCAAATCGATTTACTCTAAATCAGAAGTCATCCTGAAGCTTAAAATACAATAACTTACCTTTCTTTTTCAACGTAAGAGCTTTAATCACGGAATAGGAGAGATATTAAGCGATCGCTTCACTTCAACGATCATTCATTGGGACCTCATTAGTCCGAGTTCGACTGTTTGCTGACAAGTCTGGGCATATTCTTTCCGCGCGCAATCACACCATGTCACGTGATCAATATTTGACTGACAACACTCCATGAATGAACCAATTTTGAGAACATATTGTCAACAACAGCCAATCAAAACTCATATACGGTTGTTGATATAGCAACTCGCGTAAAAAAATTTGAAAGGACAATGGCGTCTCTTTACAGTCCGTAGTAAGAATTTTCACTGATCACGGCTGGCGGTCGCAAAAAGGGCAATTTTCCCGCATTTTGGAGCTGAAACAGATCGAAAACTTCCAATTTTGCACTCATTTTGCCTCGTTCCTGCGATCGCACTTCTGAGCGACACCTTTGCAAAGACGCTCGAGGTAAGTGTGAAAATTTTCATTCAATTATGCTTGGCGAAATTTTGAAGGGTAGATCTGACCGAAACGGTGCAATACTGCAATAAGTTGTCCTCGAAAGCAGCATCTTCGGTGTGCATCTACTGTGTTTTAAAATTAAATCTTTTTAAAGATGTTTATAGAGTGTTCGATCGTTCCGATGTAGAAAGACCATGCAGGCCTGTGCCAGCTAAAAGTACAGTCGTGGTTGTAATGAAAAGTAACAATAGTACAATAGTTCAAGTTCATAAACAACGTAACCGGCCGGTTGTTGCTTGTTTGAAGATTCGTGTTCTTGAATTTAATGGCACTTATTTGTTTGTTTCTTTGCCTTGCAATTTTTTCGAAAGGCAAAATGAACCATCGGGGATTCCCCCAGGATGCAAGGGACTAGAATATTCCCCTTTGATTTTTTGAGGTCACTGCCGTTCAGTTGCTTTTGTCAACTCGATGATGTACGCACTTTTCGAAGTTTTCTATTTGTTGCATCGCCTGGAAATTGCAACAGCTTCTCTTGCTAAAAAGACACTGAATTGACTAAATTAGGCCGCATTTGGGGGCGTTTTTGGAGCATTGATTTCTTGCAGAGGCCTGCAGCTAATCGATCCGCGATAAAAAATTGATGACTCAATGACATTCCTTTACACAATACTAAACCGCAACGAAAATCTGTCTTAGCAAGTCGTTCTCTTGCTTCAATATCATATGATTTGCTTAACTTGCTCAGCGCCAGAGACATTCCGTCACATAGAGTTAGAGAACGGTAAAGCATTTTTGTTATGCACTTTATTCGCGTTTAACAACATTCCATGGCGATGGCGAGAAAAAGGCTCCGTGTTTATAACAGAATTGCTGTACTATGTGTCCTCTCGGACCATATTGTGATGCTAATGCATGTAGGCACATCAGGTGAGCTCTTCTATTGTGTATTGTTGTGGTGTTAAAAACAATCGGTTCTTTCATAGTTTGATAATGAGGCGGAAAATGACAATTTCATTCAAAATATACTCTCGTCACAAACTTGCTCACCTTTTAATCTTATGCATCATGGGATGACTTTAGCGGGGATGGAAAAATGACTGTGGATTTTTTAAATAGGTGCTAAATTTCAACGCCTTTATCGGGAGCCAGAAAAGCAAGGAATCTTCAGATTGACCCAACAAGAAATAGCCGATCTTTGATGTATGATTGTATGAGATGGTTCAAAAACCTAAAACAAATCACCAATGGTTCAAGAGCCTCTCTTTTTAACGGTCATGAGACGCGCTTAGCCACTCGACACAGAGACTCTCGCGTGCAAAGGCCGTATAATGTTAAATTCTTTTAAACTGAAGGAATAATTTTAAGAAAACATTCAACAAAGGTTTGTTTTAAATCGAGCCAAATCAAAACATGTTACATAACCGTGGTTAAGGTAACAATTCAACTAAATAGTCGCCAACACGGATTTCGATCCTGGACCCATCGCGGGATGGAATGTAAAATTTAACCTTTGCCCATTTCAATACGTGACACTATGCCATTTTAGAAGAAGTAATTTTATAGGAAGAGAATATATATTCAGACCAATTGATTTCGATAATGGCGATAAGAAAGTTATAGCAACGGTTTACTTCCTTTGAGTGAATTGGTAGCAGAAAGTAACGTTTGTAGCTAATAGAAGTGTACAAATGACTACACTTCCAGTCCGAAGTGTTCCGAATTCAGTGAATAAGACTCTAACGGATTTTTCTATTACAAATGTAGCGGGAACTAAGGTGTACTTCCGATCTTTTTCAAGACCTCAGTTCCCAGGTCCTAGTTAACCTTAAAATGTTATGATAAGCATCGGGTCAGCATTTCTTTCTCCCTATTTTAACGTTGGCCCCTCCGGCAAGACACGCCAGTACAGTAATCGGTTGAGAACGGTTGAAACTTTCGGCTTGCTTTGGCAAATTTGTAATAGCGGTATGTTCCTGAGCTTGTGATTGTCATAATTTCATGGAAATCATGCTTTGAACGAACATTCAGGTTTCTCTACTGTGTGTTCTCCTCTTTTACGCTTTTATGTAAAAAAAATAATAATAAGAACAAAATATTTCCTTTTTCAGGCAACAAAAATTATTTTTCGCGTGCTCGCTTGACTCCCCGAAAATTGCAAAGAAGGTTATACTGCTACAATATTTACAGGCAGCTAT